AAATAAATTGTATTATGTGAAGTGTATTTCTCAATGTAGATGATCTACTAGATCACCTCTGTCCCATTGCTTTCTGCCACATCCCATCTCTGCCACCCTGTTCTTCTTTCCACTTCTACAATAACAGCTAATAAATTATAATTAAATCCTTCCCGCGCCTTCATACGCATAGCGCATAGCTACATGGCGCATAGGGCGGTGCCTATCTCCGTTTCAGTAACCCTGAGGCCCCGCAGCTGCTTTCACAGTAAATGCCAAAGTAGGGGGTTAGTCTACTGGTAGCACTGCGAGTTAACTTGCCACACTCTATCTCTATTTGCTGAATGCTAAGCGCTGAAGCCGTGGGTACCATTTTTCAAGTCTTTGGTATGACCCGGCCGGGTGTTGAACACCCGATCTTCCACATACGAGGCGAGCACTCAACCATTGAGCGAATTTGAGCCATTGCTAATATGATACGTAATGATAATGCATAATATATATATATATGTATATGTACATATACACGCATGTATATATGTGTGATAATATAATGTAATGTAAATATAAGCTAATAATGATACGTAATCCCCTGTGTTGTCTTATTGTATATATCTTACTAGAAAGCTGTTAGAAATCTTTTGGAACTACATTATTGTAGCCATTATACACAATAAACAGGTGGTATAGGCATACAACACAGCTAGTGTTTGTACCACTTTTCCACACAATTTCTAGTGTTTTAACCACTAAAAAAGTGGTTAAAACACTAGTAGAAATTGGGCTAGTAAGAGTTCCTCATTATTAGAAGTTTTCAAGTGTTTAGCTAATTGTGATAGATCAGATGCGATAAAATTATTAGTACTACTAAATTATTGAATGAATGAATGTTTAATTAATATAGTGAACTATAGCCATTATTATATTTCAATATAAATGTAAGAGTAAATTAAATAACATGGTTAGAATGACTCACAGCTGGGCTATTATCCATATTTTATTGACAACCTATGATTCTGAACATCTGTGACACATCCTGATTGACACACGTTTTACTACAGCACTGAAAATACACAGCTGAACTTTGCTTGACTTGGTACAAATTCTGCTTTCACGTTTACACGAGATGATTTGCTGACTTGTTGAGGTATTGGCAGCAAATGTACTGCCTGTTGAGAGTACCTATCCCAAACACAAAGGTTTCCTGCGGTTGGGGGCTGGGTCAAGCCTGTACTGATACTCGTGCTATCATCAAGTTGGTACTCCATCCACAATGCCACACCATTACAACATCCATCCCTGGAATTGAAAGTTGTGAAAATTAAATCACTATCCAGTTAATGATTTACACACAAAGGAATAACTGTAAAAATGCTGCTGTATAAGAACCCTAAAAGCAAATAAAGAATATTATTACATTACATAACCATAGACAGCTTGCTGTTAGAACAGAGGATATTATTAGTTGACCTGATAAGCATTGTTTTGAAATAAATTATGTTATTCAAAAACATATATACAGCAAAAACGTTTTTTAATCTGCAACATTTCTAAAGCAGATGTTTGTTTGCTTATATGTAATCTGTAATGTAAAATCGTGTGGTCTCACAAGTAATAAGCGTATGTGTTAATGGTGCTCATTAATGATAGACATGTATCTGTATAGAGAAAGCTGTGTAATGCTCTTACACTAAAAAGTCGACGACAAGGGAAGAGTTTATTTGTTCTTGTTCAGTTACTGCTTGTCTGAAGTCAAAATCCATGACAGTGAAAGGTTCACTCAGAGCTTTTCCTGGGTACTCCCACAGTGGCTGTGGTTCTATCAGTGAATCACTTATCTCTGCAGAATGCTGTGAATAAAAAACCAAAGCAATGCAGATCAATTGCTCCATCTTTTTAAGAACAGTATTTTTAAACAGGGTGTATACGTGGATGCAATTGTAGTGAAATGACTTTATTCTGCCATCTATTGGGAGAAATAATTTTTAAACACTCATATTTCACATTGTGTAAAATTTTCATTTGAATATGGGGGTGGTGCATAATACAGTTAAATATATTACTGAACTTGTTCAAAAACACTATCCCATATATCTTACATGTGGACATGGCTACTGCATACAATAAACACACACACACACACACACACACACATGTAAATATAGTGGGTTCCGCGATTTTTCATATTACCCACAATGCAACGCCGCTGGCCATTTGGGTTCCAGAAACCAGTTCAGGCATGGTAC